TATGGTATCCGCCGCTTTCGCCCCCTATCGAGTTCGCCCCTACCTTATACCGTGTTCGCCCCCACACTTTTCGAGTTCGACCCCACCGAATTGCACCGCGTTCGCCCCCTATCGAGTTCGCCCCTACCTTATGCCGTGTTCGCCCCCACACTTTTCGAGTTCGACCCCATCAAGTCGAGTTCGCCCCCTGATTGAGTGATATCCAGATGAGTTGATTTGTGACGAAGGCACTAGCAGAATGTGCCAAATGTCACGTCAGCGACGACCATTTTGAATTTCGGCAATTGCGTGGAACCTGCTTGGGAACTGGGTTGACGGAATCAATTAAATACTCTGCGTGGGATCTGGGGTTACCAGAAATAACTGTATACACTGAACTTGTGATAAAGAGAACCACACTTAATCAAAACAACATTGCTTAACTTATTATTCAGACTTGAAAAGATGTAAAACAACCTCGGTTTATCTAACGAACACGAAATGTGTTGATCGTAACAACCAGACATGAGAAGATGCAAACCACGCTTTCATCGCGACAGCATTGCTTAAGTTGTTAGACTTGTACCCGTTTAGCTTTATTTATGAAGTTAAGACTGAAGAATTTACGAAAGAACGATTTGATCACGCTGTTGATTATGTACATGCTGATCCTGCTGCTTCACGGAGAGAGCCGCTTAACGACCCTCCAAATCCGAATGGTTTCGGAGCACAAACTATGCAGACTTCAGCGACGAACCTACCGGCAGCTGCAAGCAAAGATCTTCAGCCTGTGGGATCAGTACGAGAACGGTGATCGGACAGCGAAGCAGTTGCTGCGAGCCTGCTCCGAACTTTACGGGTCGTGAGATTGCTAGCAACCCGATCGTCGAACGACCTTGTAGCCTTTCGGTTCGGTCAAATACAAAAACGGCTCCTGTAGGAGCCACCCAATCTATAAAGGTCATGACCAACGAAAGTTCTCTGTATTTCACTGTTTGACCATATTATTTCTTGTTTCCGGTCGCCCCAGCTCCCACGCACATGTAAACTTTCAAAATGGCCGTCGGTCAATTAAAATTCAAAACTTGTCTTGGTTCTAACTTGTTTGCAATGTTCGATAGTAACTAATTTAGACATGACTCAATCTGGGGGCGAACTCGACTTGGTGGGGTCGAACTCGAAAAGTGTGGGGGCGAACACGGTATAAGGTAGGGGCGAACTCGAAGGGGCGAACTCGATAGGGAGCGAAAGCGGCGGATACCGGAGCACTGAGGGGCTAACTGAACTCGATAGGGGGCGAACGCGGTGCAATTCCGAATTATGACATATTGAATTGCTTCCATTATTTGCATATTCCAATTAAACGCGTCATTTTTAGAAATGAACGTATACCATATCGTCATTCTCCCTGCGTCATCAACTTATTAGATAATATGGGAAACGGGGGTATGCATTTGACCTGCCTTATGAATTCAAACTCAGAAAGACGCGTTTTGTGGTATTTTGATAGCTTTGGATTCATTTATCTAGAGGATTAAAAAAAAAGAGCAATTCAAGACAAAGTACATGTTATTTCGAATAGCAGTCAATATTTATATCGCATATACTTTCTTCACAAATGGAGTCAAGGATTAGAGTATTATGACATTCTTAAAACATTTTCACAAACAGACTTCATGCAAAATGAAAAGTTTATTGAAAACTATTTTTAAAACAATATAAAGGAATTATGTAATGGGAATATTTGATGGAAGTAATTTAAAGCAGAACAATGACCACCCGGAGTAGGCTTTGTTCTTGACAGTGATGGAAATTATGTCATTGAAAAGAGACGAATTGTAAACTTGAATAACGACATTAGCTTGTATCAGCAAGATGATTTTCTTGGTCGACGATTCGTAGAACAAAACCATTTATTAAAAAATGTAATTGAAAACATTGATCTTGCTGAGCATAGAGTCGAAAATTCTTCTTATCCCGTTACTATGGCGATCTGATAAACAAGGGTTATGCTGATGCGGCTTATCTTGAAAAAAATAGAAATATCCAGTTGAAAAATCGATGCAAAGTGATAAATTTAAAAGATGTAGGTGCAATTACGTCATTTCTAATAATTATCTGAGAAATCATTTGTCAATTCATTGCTGTGACAAATTGCAAGCAGGCAATGGTAGATATTTAAAATACGATTTGTCGACGAATTTATATCAGCAGCACATGCCAAGATTAGTCATCCGGTACTTACAATCGCGATTGCGCAACATATGGTCAAGTCAAAAATCAATTAGATCTGAAACTGATCAAGAGATGAAAGCACTGTTGATTACTCCAGTAATCGACATAGACAACCCCCCATCAAATTTATATTGAATTGTTTATTGACGCAGTCGAAATTTGGAAAAAAAAATGGGTTTCTGAGTTTTCTTGGACGAGATGACAAATATGACGCAAATGACAAAACAATCACTCACTCGAAAACTGCTACAGTAGACGATGAAGCTGTCAATTTAAACCGGTTAAATACCAAATTCAATGAATGTGCAAAATTACTGAATCTATTACCACAACAATTTTCTGGTAGACTTCTTGTTAATGATTACGATTCTAGTGACACATCAAAATGATGACAAATTCGCTTCTGTTATAGGTTTTGATTTCAGCAAGGCACCTTGCTAAGTCAAATTGGGGTTTTCGTCACCAAAGTTCTTTGTGGGAAACATTCAGCCATTCAACACTTTAATATATACAAACCGATGCAAAAATTTCAATATCTGTCGACAATGGCACTATATTAGACGGATTAGCAAACAGTTACATTATTATCGTCAAATTAATATAAACACATTATGTATGAAAGAGGAAAGAAGAGAACATCCTTCAACCACATTGACCCCAAGCTTAAAAATAACAAAAAGAAAAAAAAATTAAGTGTTCCGTTTGTATGCGCATTAGTACTCACCCAATGTTTTGAGCGTTTTATCAAGTACCAGTATTTTTTTAAAGTCTTATTCGGCGAAAAAGTCGAAAAATATCGAGATTGCTGGACTATCTACAAAAACATCAACGAAATAAGGTTATATATTCGAGAGAGCTCATTTTACGATCATGCGAGCTACCTACAAATTTAAAAAATTTTGGA